ATCTGCTGAAGGTGATTCATATTATAGTTTTAATTTAATTGTTTAGTAATGATATAATAAGGTTGTTACCATTATTAAATTAGTCTACAGAAATTTGAGAAACTGTGAAGTTTTTGTATACACTTTAAGCAAATTATGAAAATATTAACTATAGATTTATTAGAAATTATTTATACACATAAGTTAAGCTGTGAAATTATTAGAAATTATTTATACACAAGTTAGGCTGTGAAATTATTAGAAAATGTTTATACACATAAATTAAGCTATGAAATTATTAGACATTATTTGTACACATAAGTTAAGCTGTGAAATTATTAGAAATATGAACATTGTGATTATTACAAAGTTTACTTTTAATTTTTACTCATTTAATCCTTGGCCTTATTAATTAAGCTTAAGAACTATGAATCATTAGATGAAAATCTGCATGGCATGGCAAACCAAGCAAGTAACAAATGAGTCACATTACCTTTTTGTACGTACTGTTGGTATTTGCAATTATTTTTTATCATTGAATAAATTTATAAAAAACATTCATTTAATAGTAAATTTTTTTGTTATAAAATTAATCAAAAATATGAATATGCTTGTAAATATAAAAACTTTCCTTTTAAAATTTTTTTGTTATTCAAAAAGTCATTACTGAAATGTCATTATTCAAATGTTTCTAGTGGCGGATGGAAATCATTTTAAAAGATTATAATCACAAAAATGTAATTTATGTTAAAAACATTGAATGCTATTATATATTTTTTTATTTATAATATAAAGTTGTTTATGCAAAGTGTGAACGACATATATAAATACAAAGGTGTTATACATGCAATCTTTTAAACAATAGTTGTAATTTATCTTGTAATTGCTTAGGATAAATAATTTGTTTCATAATTTTATATTTATAAAATTATAAAATTTATTATATTATTCCTGCTAATGTTTATAATCCAAAAAATAAAAAAGTTTGTTTAAAAGGATTTTATTTATCTTAAAAATTTTTTAATTTTTACTTTTTTTATTTTTAAGAAACTTCATTAGAAAAGCCGCTAGCATTAAAATATCACTTATTTACAAAACAATCGCCTAATGGAAAAGTTGTTGAAGATAATGAAGATGATGACATTGATCTTGAATCTGCTTCTGAAGAAAAACAAGCATATCATCAACATGGAAGTATAATGTACAGTGTCGCATGTAGAATCATATCTCCTGGTGTAACTTTGCCAGGTATTCTCACAATAACAACTGACTCTCTTTACTTCACAGCAGATGAAGAGTGTGTTGAATTAAAGAATATAGATCCCAAGGTATTTTTCATTATCAACTTTTTGAAATATAATTTTTTTTAATCTTTAGTTTTGTGTATTGATAAATTACTGGTAAAAGATGGAATTTACAACATTTTCAGAAATTTTTTTATGGTACTCTCCCTGTTTCGAAATACTTTTTTTGAAACACTGCATTCAACATAAACAATTATTATATATTATAAAATAAATTGTTGTTAATTTTTTTATTTTATTAAAATATATTTTATATATATTTTATAATGTATTTTATAATATATTTTATATATGTTTTATATATATTTTATATATATATTATATATATATATATATTTTATATATATTTTATAATTATTTTATATATATTTTATATTTATTTTAATACATAAAAAATACAAAAAAAACAGTTTATTTTCAATAATTCTTTACGCTGAATGCAAATAAGAACAGTATTTTGAAACAGAAGAAGTACTACAAAATTAGCTTTTGTGTTTAAGTTAAACTCATTTATTGCATAAATTTTTTTTAATACTACAACTTGTGATGCAAATAAAAAAAGTTTGATTGCTTAACAAGATTGTTTGAAGAGTTTTTCGATCTGTCTGGTAGAAAAAACTTATTAGTTTAACTGACAATATTTGATTGGTGTATGTATCACTGTGCATTATGTGACTTTTGATGAAAGGCAGAAAAGTGAATAGTTTTAATTGATTCTCCCAATATAACAAGCATTTTATTTACATGAACTGATATTATGTGTGTATGTATGTGTGTGAAGTCTTCGTAAGATTCTAAGCTAGATTTTAAAGCTGATATACAACATACAATTTATTATGCTTTTAACTTGAAAAAAAAGTTAAATAAAGCTCATAAAGTTGAATTTTCTTCAAAGTAGCAATAATACATAACTGCACAGTCGATGCTTGCATGAGTTAATCAAATGTATCAATGTCATGCATGAGATTAAAATGTATATTATAAATAATATTATTATATAACTATAATTATTATTAGGTTATATAATAATGTTACTAAACTAATTATTTTGATAATATAAAACAATAGTTTCTACATACTGTGCAGATAGAAACTATTGAAACAATATGAACTAATGTTGTGATTATGAAGCGGCTTCTAAATTTTACTTCATGGGCCAAAAATGACACTTAATTTAAAACTACTCAATTGTCTTCAAACACGGCTATTCTAAAATTTTAATTATTTAATTTTTTTCTAGTAAAGAAAACTCACAACATGTATATAATAATAACTAAAAAATTATATATATATATATATATATATATATATATATATATATATATATATATATATATATATATATATATATATATATATATATATATATATATATACATATATATACATATTTATATACATTTATATAATTTATATATATAGTTTATATATAATTAATATATACATATATATACATAATTATATACATTTATATATATATTTATATATATATATTATTATATATATATATATATATATATATATATATATATATATATATATATATATATATATATATATATATATACACCTTGTACAGAAAGTTTAAATGCACTTGTTTTTTTAACTTATACAATACTTTTAAGAAATGATAACCTGATAAATTAATGAGATATGCTCTGTATTTTTATGTTTATTTGTACTATGGCTATAAGTTATTAGTTTAGATAGAAAAAAGATTGTATGGATATTATAACGGAGGTGGAGAGTGATGAGAAAATTAACGGAGCAATTAACTCCTTTTAATTTTTTAAAATAAAATTTAAACGCACTTTGATAAGAAATCGCGTAAAACTCGTTTGAGAGATTTTTTATTGAAGTCTTTTACATTTTTATTACTCAACAGCCTGTTAACATTAGTATATTACATTTGGATTCTTATTCTTATTTTATTTTGAATAAAAACCACAAATACGATTTGATTTAAAATATATCAATTTTCAACTGATACAGCTTTGTCAAAATATCATATTTTAATGGGTAAAAAAGCTGTTTCGTCGAAAACAAAATGGCAAGTCATAGGAATGCATAAAATGAAAATAAGCAATAGAGAAATTGGCAGACGCCTAAATATTTCTGAATGCAGCGTTCATACAACAATAAAAAATTATTTATCAACTGGTAGTGTCAATTATAATCCTCGTACTGGGCATCCAAAAAAACTGACAGCACGCGATGAAAACATGCTTCACATGCTAAGCAGACGTAACCCAAAAGCGGGAGTATCAACTTTAAGTGCAGAAATCAATAGTTCGCTGGTAGACAAAACAGTTAGTCGAATGACTATAAGTAAGTTATTACGCAAGAAAGAATTAAGTTCGTTTCATTGTGTAAGAAAGCCTTTGTTGACATTAACCGATCGCCAAAGACGAAAAAAATGGTGCAAAGAGCGTTTAAATTATTCAGTAGAACAATGGAAAATGATTATCTTTAGCGATGAATCAAATTTCGAAATTATTAACAGAAAAAACTAGAGATTTGTTCGTCGCAAAAATACAGAAAAATATTTGAAGCAACACCTACTAAGCTGTATTCAAAAAGGCAGTGGCTCCGTCGGCATATGGGGATGTATATCAGGCTCAGGCATTGGCTGTCATAAAATATACGAAGGAAGATTAAACCAGTATGAGTATCGTGACATTTTGGAAGACGCGCTTATCCCTAGTCACGGTTTGTTCCAGGCTGATCAAAACTGGTTATTTCAACAAGACAATGCTCCATGCCATACAGCGCATTCAATCACTGATTATTTCCTTAAAAGTAATATTCAACTTATGCCTTGGCCAGCACGATCACCAGACTTAAACCCGATTGAAAATTTATGGAGCTGGATGGATTATCAACTAACAAAAAAGCAAATATCTAGTCATGAAATGCTCAAACAAGAACTGACCAAACTGTGGCTTGAAATACCAATCAAGATGATTGAAAACTTAATTGAATCAATGCCAAGGCGAATACAAGCATGTATTAAAAACAACGGGGGTCATATTCCGGATTAATATATTTCGATTAAAAGAAGTTGTAGGTGCGTTTAAACTTTATTGCACTTTTTTCTAAGAAATCTTTTGATTACTTGAGTTTGTTGTTTAATTTCAGAAGAGATTTTATGTTTTTCTTATTCAAAGTTGTGTTTTTTTCTTAATTAATAATTGGCTGAGAATATTAAAAAAAAAAACCTGGACCCTGCCTCGTGTTTTCTTTTTGTATCACTTTAAACATACCTAAACTTTTTAAAAACAAGTGCGTTTAAACTTTCTGTACAAGGTATATATATATATATATATATATATATATATATATATATATATATATATATATATATATATATATGTATGTATACATATATATATATATATATATATATATATATATATATATATATATATATTATATATATATACACATATACACAAATATATATAAATATTTATATACGTTTAAATAATTTACATAGTTTATATATATACATATTTATATACATTTTTATAATTTATATATATATATATGTATAAATATATATATATATATATATATATATATATATATATATATATATATATATACACACAAATATATATATAAATATTTATATACGTTTAAATAATTTATATAGTTTATATATATACATATTTATATACATTTTTATAATTTATATATATACATATTTATATACATTTTTATAATTTATATATATATATATGTATAAATATATATATATATATATATATATATACACAAATATATATATAAATATTTATATACGTTTAAATAATTTATATAGTTTATATATATACATATTTATATACATTTTTGTAATTTATATATATACATATTTATATACATTTTTATAATTTATATATATATATATATGTATAAATATATATATATATATATATATATACACATATATATATATATATATATATATATATATATATATATATATATATATATATATATATATATATACATATTTATATACATTTATATAATTATATATAGTTTATATATAATTTATATATGCATATACATATATAAAAGTTGTTTTTTGTCCTTTTTTTTAGTTTAAATAAATGCATCTTATTTTAGATTTTAATATACAATGACTGCTTAAATGTTAAATGCTCATTTATCAATATTGTTGCAATTTTTACAAGAAGGTATATTTTGCAGAATAAGGCTTTAGAAATCTTCTTGGCTAATAGAAGTAAGTATTCTAATTGAAATTTCTATTTTCTCTAGAATCAACAGTTATTTTAGTTAAGTATCACTTAAGTTAATATAACTATATAAAGATGTGTTTAAGATGTATAAAAAACGTGTTAAAATGTTTTTTAAGTGTGTTTAACATGTCTGTGTTTGCTAGTTTACAGTCTAAATTAAACTTTTAAGTATTGTGTAATTTTTTTACATAACATAAATTTATAAATATTAACATAAATTAATGTTAAAAATTTAAAACTTTTTTTTCCTCTCTTTTTGTTAAGGAAGCTTTATGTTTGCTTTTGAGTCCCACAATATTGTTAAACAAGTCATTCAACAATTACCGAGTGTTGGTGTTGGCAATTCTTATGGTTTGGCTAAATCTAAGTAATATTGTTATTAATAATTTGTTTTTAAAGAATTTTTTAATATATGTTAGAATTAATTTAAAAAAAAGTTAAATTTATGAAAATTTCTTGTTTAAACAATAAATTTTGGGTTAAATTGTTCTGTTTTATAGTGTTGCTTAGAAATTTTTTATGATTGGTTTATTAAAGTTGGTTTTTCAGTCTTTTATAGTGTTTTATAGTGTTGCTAAGAAATTTTTCATGATTGGTTTATTAAAGTTGGTTTTTCAGTCTTTTATAGTGTTTTATAGTGTTGCTAAGAAATTTTTCATGATTGGTTTATTAAAGTTGGTTTTTCAGTCTTTTATAGTGTTTTATAGTGTTGCTAAGAAATTTTTCATGATTGGTTTATTAAAGTTGGTTTTTCAGTCTTCTATAGTGTTTTATAGTGTTGCTAAGAAATTTTTCATGATTGGTTTATTAAAGTTGGTTTTTCAGTCTTCTATAGTGTTTTATAGTGTTGCTAAGAAATTTTTCATGATTGGTTTATTAAAGTTGGTTTTTCAGTCTTTTAAAGTGTTGCTGAGAAATTTTTCTTTTTGTTAAATAGTCATAATACTTTCATATCTTTTATTTCAATTACTAATCGAAAATGATTTTCTAGTATTTTATTTTTTGTTGTTTTTATTGTTGTATTTATTTCTATCCATAAATGCGCTTTTAGAGTTTTTTAGGCTCTATTTTTTATAAAAAGTTTTGACTTGCAGTTTTGCAATTTGCAACTTAATTCTGTACCTCAGAAGTCAAAGGTTGGTTGTCACATTTTAGAAATTGTTCAGGAGAGAGGAAATAGTAAAATAATTAGTCTTTATTGGTTTATTTTTGATGGTTAAATTTGTGTAACTAACTTTGTTTTGCATTGTCATAGGACAACAGTCTTTACATCTCTGTGTAGATACTGAAAAAACTAAAAAGGTCTCATTCATAACTCATTTTTACAAAATATTGGACAACTGACCTTTGTCTTCTGAGGTACAGAATTGCTAGTTGCATCTTAATTGCTAGTTGCCATGCAACTAACTACTCAATTAGTGACTTTTCACTTTGCAGCTGGCAACTCTATTATTCTTACAATTTGAAATTTCATAAATAGCTGTTTGCAACCAAGTTGCAATTTAATTAGTGTGTTTTGGAAAAAATAATATATTTGTAACTATTGTTTTGTTTAATATTTTTGTAATAAAATATATTTATATTTTTTATTAGGAGTGTTTCATTTTCATCACCAAAACAATTGTTTTCAAAATCAAATGTTTGTCAGCGTTGGCAGAACAGAGAAATATCCAATTTTGAATATCTTATCTTTTTAAACACCATTGCTGGTATATAAATTTTTTTTCTTTGTGTAAGCACAATTACTGTTATATGAAAATTTATTCTAAAAGAATGGTAATAACTTTTTTTTCTCTTGTTTTTTAATAGTGCTTTTATTGTTCAGGACGAACTTACAATGACTTAAATCAATATTTTGTGTTTCCTTGGATTTTGAAGAATTATGAAAGCTCTACATTGGATTTGGAAGACTCAAATAACTACAGAGACCTTTCAAAGGTATTTAGATATTTTGTTGGCATATAAATATTAGTTGTGTTTAAAAGTAAGAAGATCTATAAATATTTTTTTCTGTGTGTGTTTATATATATATATATATATATATATATATATATATATATATATATATATATATATATATATATATATATATATATATATATATAGTAAGCGACCAGGGTTAATATTTGACCGGGGCCGGGTTTGTGACCGGGGCTGCATAACCATTTATACATCCTAGAGTTTGTTTATTTTTTATTCAAAATTCACATTATACTTTGTATCTATATGCATATTAAACATCATTATGATCAACATGTTCATCATAATCATCATTACCAACATCATCATCATCTGATCATCTTCTCTTTCGGCAAATACTACACCATATAAATACTAAAGTTTATATAAAAATGAAAGGATATTGTATGCTAGCATCTAAATAAATAGCAAACATATATGTTTATATCTTGGAAATATATAATATATACAAATATAACATGGGAAGCTTCGACTGTAGTGGATTTCATGGCCTTGAGGAATTGAATTGAAATAAAAAATTATAAAACAAAAGTTGGTTTATTGGTCATTTATTTTATCTTTTTTACAAGATAATCTCTCTTAAGAAAAAAATATCCCTTTATTATTCCAAGAAGCCAGTATAAAAAGTTCTGGTCTGATGTTAAGCTCTGTTATTCTCAGTTCTAAAATCAAGTATTGTACCAGATGTTAGGTTCTAGAGACTTTTGGTTAGTCTTCAACAATATCATTAACTAAAGTAAGTCTAACATTTAATATCTAATTCATAGTTCTGATCTTTTTCTTCTGCTGAGAATAAATCTTACTCTAATTTGACTTTTGAATCTAATGGCCATACTCTTCCTGCCAGTAATACAGATTAACCTATTGTTAAACATCCAAATTGCTCTGGCTTCCAATGCTTAAGTTAATTCTTAGTTAAACACTTCTACAGTTTATGCTTCAAACAAGATTTCCATCATAGTCTTAAATTGTGTTCTCCAGAACTCTTTTCAATTTTTGCTAAATTTTTAAAAAGCGCTAAATAAGTGGTTCCAATTTTTCAAAACTCTAGAAAACACTTTGACCTCTCTAACTATCCTACTAGTTTCTTTATATTAAGGTTTTTGAGATTATTATTGCTTTCTAACTGCAGTATTAAAGTTATTTTTGAAACTCTACACTTATCTTTATTTCAAGTAACTTTAAGGGTACCACAAGGTTCTATATTTGCTCCTGTATTTTTTTTTATCTATAATATCGATCTTCATTAAAATTTTACATCTAAATTAGCTCTATTTGCTGACAACTCAATTTTATACTTTTTTCTTGACAAAAAATCTTTTTGATTGTTTAGAACAAGCAGCCAATTCTTAATCTAATCTCTCTACTGTAACAGCCTAAGGCTTGCAGTATGGATTTAAATTCTGAACTTAAAATCCACATTTTTTGTTAGACAACAAAAATCATTTATTTACTGCAAAAAAATATTGTAGTAATGTAATTCTATATTGCTTATTCAAGTTGTATCCTACATTGCTTATTCAAGTTGCATCTTTTTACTCTATCTGTCCCTTCATGCTATAAAAAAATTTATTATTCCAGTTTTTTTCCTTGCACATCAAAAAAAACCTTATACCTCTCAGCCATCTTCATGTTTGTTTTTTATATACAACCTACAACTTTTTAAATCTTCAGTTAACAATTTCTTAGTATTTTTATTTATTCTCTATGTTAAAATAATTCATAACTTAATAGTGGTTGCTTGCAATCTTGTTGAAAGTAAATGAGAGTTTGAAAATACATAAATATATGACAGTATTTAATAAATAGTTTATGTAAACATAAAATTATAATATAATAAAGAGTTATAAATTTTTTTCTAGCCCCGGCTATCAACCCCTGCTAAATTTTTTAGTTTTGCCAGGGCTGGAGCTGGGGCCGGTTTAATTACTATGTAAAAAATTTAAATTATTTTTGCCTAAATAAATTATAATGACTATGTTGATAATATTTAACTTAATAGTTTCTATTTTTAAAACATAAAATTGCTTAATAAGATAACAAAACTTTCAATTAGTTTACTTATTTATCAGCCTATTGGTGCATTAAACCCCTTTCGCCTGGGCCAATTTGTAGAGCGGTTTAACACATGGGATGAATCATCAGGTGTACCCCCATTCCATTATGGAACTCATTACTCCACTGGAGGTTTTGTTATGAACTGGCTTCTCAGATTGGTAAGTTTTCAAAATCATTCAAAGTTTCTAAATATATGAATGTCAATAGTTTTTTATGTAAATACTTTATGAAATAATAAAAATTTTGTAAATTGTTACTTTAGGAACCATTTGCTTCCTTATTTTTGAGTTTACAAGGTGGAAAATTTGATCATCCATTGAGAACCTTTTCATCTATAATGAGAGCATGGGAAAATTGTCAAAAAGATACATCAGATGTCAAGGTAACTAATACACCTTGAAAAGTTTAACTGTCAAACAGAGTTTTTTTTATTTGTTGATATATATGATTTGTTGATTGCTGTATAAATGTCTACAAAAATGTTACAAAACAAAAAAGTTATTAAGTTATTAATAGTTTTATATACTGAAAAGAAATTTGCTTCCTAATTATTCATTTGAAAATTTAATTAATGTTGTTTAAAGCACAACCAATACATTTAATAAAAAATAAATAAATAGATAAACACCATTTTTGTTTAAAGAGAAATTAACAAAAAATAATTTGTTAATTTTTTCTTTTATACTTAAAAGCCACATTATCACTTCCAATCTTATAAATTAAAACAATTTTATAATTAATAAAAATTAATGTTAATAAAAATGAGTATAATAGTTTAAAAAATTATGTGATAATAGAAATTAATGCAATTATAATACATTATACTGATAAGTTTATTTTTGTTTTTAGGAGCTTATACCTGAATTGTTTTATCTACCACAAATTTTTTCTAACAGCAATAATGTAAATATAGTTAATTTTTTTTTTTGTAACAAAGTATAGTTTCATGTTTATGAAAACAATATAAAGTTTATTGTAAATTTTTTTGTTGATATTTGTTTTATAGTTTGTATTTGGTGAGGGAGATGGCGGAAAAGATATCAGCAATGTACAGTTGCCACCATGGGCTCAATCACCAGAGCATTTTATCCATATTCATAATGAAGTAAAATAGCTTGTATTACATAATCTGAGGAAGTATAAAATGTCAAAGATGCTAAAATGTCAAGATTTTTAAATCTTAAGTGTTTTTGCAAAACATTTAAAATTTATTAAGTCAATCTTTTTGGCTCAATGAGTCAAAAATATATAATGAAATGGAGTTGTTTAATTAAAATCATTTTGAAGAAAAATTTTAAATTACAATCTTGAAAATCTTCTTAATTTCTTTAATTTTTAAATAAATAATTTGCTCTTCATGGTACAGCTAATTTTGATATAGCATCAATAATTTTTTAAAGTAATTGTTAATACTCAGCACACATGTTATACATGTTATACAAGTTCAGGAAAATTTTCAGGATTGTGTGTTCTAGGTATGAAATCGATACTATTGGAATTGTATAAGTCTTAAATTGAGAGGCAAATGCGGATTATCCCCTTAATTGTGTAAAATTGCACTTGTTGTTGTTTTGTTGCCATTTTGAATTTAAAAATGGCAACAAAACAGCAACAAAAATTGCCATTTTGAATTTTAAATTTTTCTAAAAAATATCTTAACTGAAATACTAATTTATAAATAGTTTTTCTGTAAAATTCTGAATAATAATTATAGGGGGAAAATTTTTTTTTAATTTTTTGGCTAATAAATTTAAAAAAATATATTTTGTTAAAAATTTTTTGTAAATTTCAATAATTAATGTAACAGATACTTAACTTTTTTCTTATATAAGTTTAAAGCTATATTAAATTCTATAAAAAACAAAAAGAGAAACAAACTATTATTTAAGCATTTTTAATAATTCCTTATATACTAAGATTTTAATCAACTAATGGTCAAGTTGTTTAAAGCTCTGCCAAAGATACTAATTACCTAAAATATTAATCAACTAAAACACTAATTCAACTAAAACACAACAAGGGATAAATTTAAATAAAAATTAAATAAAAAGAGCAACTAATAAGCAGGGAGCTCTTTTAGGTGATGAATTTATTTTTCCTTCAAAAGTATATAAAATCAATCAGGATGAGAATTTTCTTTTTTTTTATTTTTGTTTTTATTCTTTGTTTCTAATGGTTAGTAAGTTAGCAGTAATTCGAGATGATCAAAATTACCTTTATCAATTGTCAGGACCTGTATTGATTGTCAGGACCTGTATCGATTGTCAGATAGTTGTTAGACTCAAGATGAGAATAGTTAATCAAAGACTGAAAGACCTTGTTAATAATAGTAAAAAAACTAATTGGGGAATAATTAGATAGGGCAGAGCCCCAAATGCCATTTTCTAGCAGGTAGGAAAACATTATTCAGCATTAATAAGCATTTGTAAAATAACTTGATAAATATTGAAAACACTTTTGTAATACTGTGACAGAAGCATTGTCCAGGCCACAAGCCGTAGAAGAGTTTAAGTGAGAAATAACAACAGAAGCTGAGATGATTTGCACATCTAACAATGGAATAATCTATTTTTCTGGGATCATAGGAACAGTGTGATCATTAGATTCAAGTGATGAGTGAAAGTAAAAGTTTGTTGCAACAAGTTTAGCTTTATTATTGGCAGAAGTAATCTTTGGGTGAGGTAAGATCAGATTCTTTTTTGAGAGATGAAATGTTAGACTTATCTTTGTTAATCAAATTGTTAAAGGTTTTCTAAAAATCTCTACAACCTAACTTCCTTCATAAATGACTTAATAATATGAGAATAATAGACTCAGGCAATATATTTTTGCATTAATTTTTTGTCTTAATTGAAAAATGTTTGTTCTTGGGAGAGTTATTTTTGTAAAAAAATTAGAGAACTTATTACAATTAGCAGTAAGAATAAGAAAGTCATGGGGAAGAGTAAGGCTTGACTTAAAACAGACAAGAAGATATAAAAGGTTTCATGCCTACCTGATACCAGGAGCCCATTCATAGGGTGAATCATTATAGTGTGAATCTGATACAGAACAAGTATGAAAATAATAGTTTTAGTAAGTTCATAGCATGATCTGAACCACCTAAAGGATAACAAGAAGGAACTGAACACAAGCTAATGTCAGCAATAAGATGCTATTTAAGGAGTTAAGGTCGATAATTATGGTTGTTACAAAAACAAGGGGGAAAAAAAAAAGGAGAGATTTAGAATGAAAAAAAAAATTTAGTTTTAGTTAGAAACAGTATTATTTTAAATTTGACCAGAAATAACATCAAAAAATAGTACTAATCTTGGGAACAAGATGAACGATAAAGAACAAAAAGAAAAGTGATTGAACCATCAAAGAAAAGAACTTCATAAAATAAAATTTATAGGCTTAATACCTAATTCAACAACAAGTAAGTGAATTGATTTGCAAGTATATGCCCAGTCCAAGATTCAATAACAAATAATTGAATTGATTTGCAAGTAGATGCCCAGTCCAAGATTCATGTTAGTCAGGTATTAAGTGAAAATTAATGAATGATTAAGTTTTTGTCATTTTTATTTCAATACTTACAAAGGCTAATCAAGACTAATACAATTGATGTTTAGACAATTGATTTATTTATTCAATTAGGTGTCAGTTTAATGATTTTAAAAATTCATTTTTAATGCCTTTATTTACATTTTTAATGCCTTTTATTAACCTTGTTGTTTTTATAGGACTTCTGCTAAGTTTAAAAAGTATTTTTTGTTGTCTGATTTGCTTTTTTGAAAGTAGTTTTTGTTTATCAGATATAATGCAATATTTAGTAGTTATTTTACAAATTAAATATATAACTAATATAATCAAATTTTAATAAACTAATTTTGAATTAAGTTAAAAGTTTGTGATTTTATTTCAAAAAATCTTCTTTAAAATAAAGAAAATTTGTTGAAATTAAATTACAAGTTTTGTTATTTTCTGTTAAATATCTTATGATTAATAATAAGCAATTTTATTTTATGCAGGCATTTTCTGTTAAATATCTTATGATTAATAATAACCAATTTTATTCCAGGCATTGGAATCTGACTATGTGTCAGAAAATTTGCATAAGTGGATTGATCTTATTTTTGGATACAAACAAAAAGGTTTGCAGTATTTCAGTATTGTTATCATTTCTGAAAACATTTTGTATATTTTAAATATTTGAAATGCAAATAAATTTAGGATTTTTTTTGTTCGTTTAAGCAATAATTTATATTAAAATCAATACTTTTATTTTTATTATTTTATTATGATTTTAAATATTGCTGTTTTACCAAGTTTTTAAGGAAATCTTAAACCATAATTAATTTCATTACTTTATTTTTAAAATAAATAAAAGATAATAAAAATAATTTACAAAAAAAAAAAGTCCACAACTGTAATGTTTTTACCATGAGTTTTAAATAATTTACTTCTGTTATGATAAATTTATAATTGTATTAAAACTACTGTAGTTTGTAATAAAACAAAAGAGGATTTTTTTTTTTTAACTCATCAGTATTAAAATGACTATAAATAAGATTAGGATTAAACAACATTTTTTTATATAATAACATGAAAAAAATGACTACATAGTAATTAACTAGTAAAAAGCAACCCGTAACACAGGTTGTTTTTTGGTCAGTCTGTTGCATAACTAATTTATAGTGGCTGTTTTCCACAATTTAATGTTGCAAAACCTTAACTAATACCCTTTTAGAAAAAATTTTTCAAATTGAAAAAATTAATCCATCTGTAAAATTAACATAAAAAGTATGAGGAGGTAAAATAATTTACCAATTATTACTTAAAATTGTTTGAGTAATTTACAACTGACATAGGTCATAACAGTGTAAGGCAGAACCATTTTCCTTGACATTCCTAAGTTCAACACAATACGTTTTTAGTTACTGACACAAAATAAAAACACTCCATCATGCTTTAAATTGACGAAAATATCAACTAAATCCTTGTAGTAATTTTTATAATATGAACTTTAATTAATTGTTAAGATTAAGATGAAGTTAACTTATATTATACAGGAGTTATCAATTTTTGGTATCCCCTTATTTAATTTTTCTTTAGAAAAGAAAATTGTTATCTTAAAAATGTTGACTAATAAATTAATTAAAAATAACTAAGTTTATTATAAATAGCTAAGCAACTGAGTACAAATACCTTTCAAACATAAAAAAAAAATTAATTTACAATCTAACATGTGCATAACAAATTTAAAAAAATATCTAAACTTTGATCTTTTATATTGCATTAATGCGTCATATGACAAACCTAAAATAAAAATTGTAACATAAGTAGACATAAAAATTTGTAAACCAAGCTGGCCGGACCTGGGTCTTGTTAAGTCTGCTCAACACAGACCATTTCTATATTATTTGTATGGGCTCTTTATTTCATTAATTTATAGTAAACGGTAATTTGCTACCATTTACTAAAAATTCCTTTTGTTACTCAAAATTTAATTTTCCTAAATATTTTGACACTAATAAAGAGGTTCCTCCCCTCTTTTTGCTTTAATGGTGCCCAAGTGAGTAGAGTTATTTCTATTAAGAGTGATCAAGTTTTTGATGAAGGTCTTTTACCAAAATAATAAAATGTAAAACAATGATTTTCATATATTAGAATGTTTTCTTTCCTCAAGTGTTGCAGACTAAGCTAACTAATTAATTAAACACGTTAATAAAACTTAAGTAACACGATATTTGACGAATGCGCAAAACTACAATACTCTCCATGTTTTTAAAGGTTTTTAGTTTGTTTTTAGTTACGACCCCCCATTTACAAAGATCCCCTATGATACGTACTACAAATTATTAGGCATAAAATAGATAAAATATTAAAAAAATTGAACTAATTGAATATATTTATACCTTTTTAACTGAGTGTATTATTTATTTTCTTTTTTTTTTTGTTTGTTTGTTTTTGTTTGTTTTTGTTTTGTTTTGTTTGTTCATGGCCGCTCTCCTCGATTTAGCCTAGCTATATGAGAGTGAACCATCCAGAATGTAGACTGTATATACATATTTTTTATAACTTATAACATTCTTTTTTATTTTAGATTTACGATATGATGCATTTATACAATTAAAAAAAAAAACCTGATTTTCTTTTATTGTAAATTTTTGTAAGTTAAACAAACAACAACAACAAAAAGCAATATATTTACCAGAAATATAGATGTTTTACATCTAACAAAAATTTACAATAAAAGAAAATCAGGGTTTTTTTTAATCATATAAATGCGTCATATCGTAAATCTGAAATAAAAAAGTAATGGAACTATGATATCATAATTACAAAAAAAAAAACACCACATAAAAACTGAAAATCGATTTACCTATTTATAGTAACCTATTTTGAAATTGCAGTTAATATAAACATCAAAAATGTAACTATAAAATCTGTTTCGAAGGACAAAAGGATTAACAATACTGAAAAAAAAAAAAGATATAAATTGCATTTTTAACAAAATGTTATCTTGGTTTTTAGTAAATAAATAAAAGCAGTAAGTTCATATAATTAAACTACCTATTATTCATTTTTAACAATAGACACAAACAGGAAGGTAAGCTAAGCTGTCTATCAACACAAAACGTCTCAACAATAACATTACAACGATAACACATAACAATAAAATCCAGTGAAAATAACAAACTAAATTAAAATATGAAAGGCAAAATTAAAAAGCCAATTTAGAGTTAACTATATTTATCTTTTTACTAAACTTTAATAAAGTATATTTGTTTTTATATTTTAATATTCATTTATATATTTTAAAATTCATTTATTCAATAAAAGTCATAAAATATTTATTGAAAAGCCAGAAAAGTTTGCATGATAGCAAAGTAAATAAAATGGTAAATGGTTTGGGCATAAACACACCAAAAGTTTAAAACAAAAAACAAACATATACAAACGTTTAAAAAGTAACTACAACTAATAAAATTTAACACTATAAATATAAAGCTGATCATGCACTCAGCTCGAATCATAAAAAATTTAGAAGTAGATTGGAAACTATTAGAGAATACATTTTATGGAACCGTAACTAATTAACAAACAATGGTTACTATGCGCATTCAATGTTAACTGTACGAATTATATTAAGATAAGATTTATACTTACAAAAATTTTTAAACTTTATAACAAATTTTTTAATTTAAAATTGATATAATCGTTTATTGAATCACAATCAAATTTTAAAATACTTTGAAAATAAGATCATTAGCTCATAAAACTCACTGTGGTAGTGGTGCAGCAGTTGAGCGCTTGATTCATAAGCAAGAAGTTCCAAGTTCGATCCCCATGTTAGTACTTTACTCAACTTGTTTCTCTGCAGAGCTGCCTTATTTATTCTGTTTTGGAGTTAGAGAGTTGAGAGAGAGTTGTAACCATAATTAAAGTAGCCTCCTTTACTGTATTGTCCTTCTTGGCCTTAAGGAGGTGATTTAATATAAAAAAAAAATTTTTTGATGCTTTTTTTTTAGTTTTTTAAAATTTTAAATAGTATTGCGTTGCAATAATGAATTGATGTTTAAGTTTATTATTAATATTTTTTTTGTTTATTATTTATTCATTTTATTGTTTTGTTTATTATTATCGTACTTTTTTTTTTTTGGAACATACAATTTTATATTTTGATTTGTTTGCTTAAGTTTATTTATTTACATTTAATTTGTATACATTTTATTTTTTTAAAATTTTTCAACATATTTTCCTAATAGTTTATTGCATGACAATTATGTTAATAGAGTGGTTCTAAAAATGATTAATAAATAATTTATATCTTTTTGTTAAGGCAAAGAAGCCGAACACAGTGCTAATGTTTTTTACTACCTTACCTACGAAGGAAGTGTTGATATAGATGGTATTGTTGACCCTGTAACAAAACAGGTGTGCAAATAACTTGTTAGACTATTTATTGGCAACATTTTTTTTTAATAGTTAATGAATGTAAGACTTGTTAATGATTTTTTAAATAGGCTATTGAGCAACAGATAAAATGTTTCGGTCAAACTCCTTCACAACTTCTTACTACACCTCACCCTCCTCGTAATACTAAGGTAATTGTTTTAAATTGCGCTTTCAATCTTTTTTGTTTCTGAAAAGCTTCATGTAATTTATTGTATTTTTAGAATACTTCACAGGAATCACATAAAAGTAAGTAAATCTTTATAATTTTAAATTCTATCTAAGCTCTATTTACTAAAGCTTTAGACAATGATTTATTCCTTAACAAGAGGTGAGTCTTTCACTAATTGGTTTGGTATATAATTATTAAATGGTTGATTTAAATATCAGATTAAGCAATAATTTTGGAATCAGTAAAATTCAAAAATTATTTTTTTGAGTTATGATTTTTAGGTATTTTTTTGTCGTTTCTTGTTTCCCCTGAGGTTCCTGTTGTACATGTTACATCATATACTAACACACCAATGGCTGCAATTATTACAATTAGTTGTAATCAAATGTTTTCAGTTAATAAATGGATCAATTTTGGTAAATTTTTTTCCTTATTTACTGTTTGGTTAACTTTTTTGGTGAGAAGCTTTTTTTTTCAGTCAATAAAATAAACTTTATTGTTGAAGATGTTAGCATTAGTTTGTATTTTAAAACAAAGATTTTAAAAATCGTTAAAGGTGGTTCAATAACATCATTTAAATCGTTAAAGAATGTACAAATAGAACAAGATCCTTTGTTGGGTTAGTGATTATATTTATTTAGTTCTTTCAAATAATTTATATATTGCTTTTTATTTCTTAATTTTTTATTTTTCACAGAAACAGTTCATGGGCGTTATCAAAGACAACTTGGAGAACCTTTAGATGAAAGTGTTACTGTGACATCATCTTGTTTTGTGGTGTCATCAGACAATCGTTTTATATTTTCATGTGGATATTGGGATAAAAGTTTCAAATGCTTCTCAGCTGAATCAGGCAAAAAACTTTTAAAGTTTTCTTAATTTAAATTGAAAATATTCAAAGCTACAAAATGTTACTTTAAAACTTTACTTTACTACTTAAAGTTAAAAATGTTACATTGAAACTACACTAAACTATTTAAAGTTACTAAATGTTATGGATTCTGAAATGTTAATTTTCAAATAAAAAGCTATAATTGACTTTAATATTGCCAACATTTTTTTAAATTGATTTAAATATTGCCAACATTTTTTGCACTAAAATTTTTCACTTTTTTTTTTTTGGTGCAAATTTTTTTATAAAAAATTTGCACATTTTTAGAGAAAATTTTTACAATTATACCTTCATATTTATAATAATATTTCTCACTTTATAATAGTATGATTTAATAACATAATGTTGTAATAAACATAAATTATATGTGTGTTTTCTTCTATTTTAATAAATAACATAATGTCGATAACAAAAGTGAGAATATGTAATTTTAAAAACATAACTTATTATATAATTTCTATAATTTTTATACTTCAGGCAAACTTGTTCAATGTGTGTTTGGGCATTGGGATGTTGTCACATGCCTAGCCTATTCTGATGATGAATTGACTTCAGCAAATGCAATTATAGTATCAGGTTCAGCTGATGCAACTGTTTTAGTGTGGATATGGGATCATAAACGTCATAGAATTATTGGTCCTGATGATGGCACAGGTTTAAATTTTTAGTGATATAACACTGGTATCATAGTTTTATTCTGTTATCACATATCATCACATAATGTGTAATAGCAGAACCTATTATATGTTGGATTGTAACGAGTTTACTTTGAACAAAACATTGTTTTTTTTTTGTGAAGAAAAAAAAAGTTTTTTGTGATTATCTCAAAATGTAAAAAAATGATTTGGGCCACTTTTGCTTTAGGTTATATAATATGATATATGATACTATATCAGTGTTAGCCTAAATACAAACATCACATTTTTTTCTAATTGTTGTATATAACAGTATTCTGTGTAATTAGGTTTTCATATTTTTTCAAATATTTTAAGGTCATGGTTCTACTCCAATTACTATTTGTACTGGTCATCAATTGCCTATTACTTGTGTTGATGTAAACACGTCGCTTGGTATCATTGCAAGTGGAAGCATTGGTGAGGATATTGCTTAAAATATTTCTAAATTTTTAAATTTATTTTCAGTTTGGTTAAGATCAAGAATCTAGAATTTAAAGTTAGGAAGACATTTTTTTCCTAATTTATTTCAATTAGGTTTTATATTTTTCTCATTAGAAGGTCCGTGTCTTCTTCACAGCCTTAGTGGTGAACTACTGCGCAGTTTAAAAGGACCAGCTGAATGCCAGAATCCTCGTTTGATTAATATTTCTAACGAAGGAAGAATTCTTGTCAACTATACTAATGAACACAGTTGGATGGCAATGTTTTCTATAAATGCAGAACTTTTTCATCATGTTAAATTAAAAGAACAAAATCTGGTAAACATACAAATAAAATAAAATAATGTTTATTGAAGATTTAGTAGACATATAGCAGGATAATAATACTGTAGGATATATAAGGAAGCCTGGGAGCTTATACTTTAGGATATATATGGAAACCTAATTTACTGCAGCTGTTTAACTACACTCTTTTAACTTTTTTCAAAAGATTTTTTTCGTTAAAAAAAAAAAATTCAAAAGAAGTAAATTATCGAAATTCAAATTTGTCTTAGTTACATGGTATTGAATTTCATTGAATATTGATTTATGAGTCTTTTTTCAAAAAATAACTAATATACCTAAAAATGGTAATTACATCTAAAAAAGTAAATTATTCGCGTGCTGAATCTATTTAGCTGTAGTCACATTATGTACATTTATTTTTGTAAAGTTTACTCTAAAGTACTCTTTAAACAGATAAACGTGAGTGTTGAAATAATTACTGATATATCGCAAGAATACTTATAGTTTATACTGAGGATCCGGTGTGACTAATATTACAACTTGTTGAAGAAGTAATTTCTCGCTGCATTTTTGTTATAACAAAATGCTGAAATCAAAACTCTAGTTTTTGATGGCTTTTTGTTTTTTAATTTTTGCTTTTTAGGCTGTTGTATTTACTAAAGATGGTCGGTTTTTTGTTACGGGTGGTTACGATAAGTGTTTCCAAGTATGGCGAAGTTTTGAAATGATATTATTAAGTGTTTTTCCGCCTTGTGATGGTAGCATTCGTTCACTTGCACTTACTCCTGACCAAAAGTAAGTTATTTAAAATATTGTTTAATATACTACAAGAGTTATTTGAGAGTTATATGAGACTCAAATTTTCAATCAAAACTTAAATTCAAAATTGATAATTTTGTTCTTAAATTGACAATATTTAACTTCAGGTGCTTGTTTTTTTTCAAAATTCTTTATTATTATACATTTAACTATCAGGTGCTTGGTTGCGGGTTTAAGTACGGGTTCCATTATTGCGATGGCTATGGACTTCTCCATATGGCCTCGTGTGAACAAATCATCTTCGACTTCTAATGTAAATAGTAAGTTAACAAATTTGCAGAATAATACAACAGGTCGTACTCCCGAAGTAGCCTTTTCCTCATTAGAAAATTCTGGCATAGAAGATAAACGTATTACTGATGGAAATTTTCAAGAAGGTTCAAATCTACAAACTGAGACCATTTCTAATAAGAATGAAATAGAAAATACTTCTACTGAACGTTTATCATATCCAGAAATGACAAGCGAGTTACCAAATAATTTTAATGTAGCAGATAAAGTAAAAAACCCAGAACCTTTAACAAATAATGAACCTCCTGAAGACTTGTCAAATAATAAATATCTAGAGGATTTCTCTATTGATAAATCTTCCGAAGGACTGTTAAATGATGAATTTCCTGTAGGCATATCAAATAACGAATCCGAAAAAAGTATATCTCCCAATGAATCTCTAGAAAATTTTTCCACAAATCAACTACGGAATTTATCTCATAATGAACCTCTAAAAGATTTATCAAATAATGAATCTCTAAAAAGTTTATTAAAGAGCGAATCTCATGAAGATTTTACAAGTAACAATATAATGTTAAATAATCATTCCTCAATTAGTTCGATAGATAGTATATCATCTACGGTAATTCAGTATTCTAACGGAAAATCTTCGAGTAAAACCGAAGAGCAATTTGAAAATGTATCTGTTGATCAGTTTAAAGAAGAATTATCTGGTGACCAATTGATGGGTCAATATAAAGATTTTCCTGAGACTATAAAAACAACAGCAAATCTAAACGTTTCATCTGGTTACACAACAAGTTTACCTGATGTTGAAAAAATTAATGACCAAAGCAATATTGTTTCTAGTGAAGAAATTCCTATAGGAAAATTACGTGAGCATGAAAATTCTGAATATCCAGAGGGTAAGTCAGTTAAAACATTGCTCGAAACATCAAAAATAGTAGAGTAACTGTTGCCATAGCAATATTTATTTTTAAATTAGCTGATTTAATTTTTTTTTAATGGAATTCAAAAAAAATATATTCAATAATTGCTTTTGCTATAAATGCAAAATGTATTTTAACCAACGGGAAAAATAGATGTACATATAAATAATATTAGTAGCTTGTAAGCTCCCAATTATTCTTTCTATAAGTGTGTATGTTTTTTTAAGGGGTCGTCTTTTTTTGTAAAGGGTTTTTGTTAATTTCATATTTATTTGTACTTGATCTATATTTTGTGATGGTATCATGTTTACGATAGTTGTGTTTTAGTAAACTAAATTATTTCCTTAGAATATAGTTGAATAACTCTAAATGAAATACAACAAAAGGGATTCTCTTTTTTCTGACAGTTTTGCAGCCTTTTTTTTTCCCCGAACTGAACCAATCTTTTTTTATTTATATTTCTTTTTTTCCTTGTTATAAATTTATAGGCAAGTCTTCCTATCTAGCCCTTTCTGTTTTATTTTAAATTTTTATAAAAGGAATACGCTATAAATTAAGTATAATTAACTTAATTTTATTATGGAATTACTTAAGGTGGTATACCCCCTTCAAAATTATCTTGGAAGTGAAATCTTATAGTCAAAATTAAAAATTGCCTATAAAAGATCTTATTAAACGAAATTGATTTATAAAATTATAGGTGATTATGCTGTCATGACAACCACCTAAAATGGCGGATATATGAAAATATGCACATCGCACTGTCAAAAATATCTCAAATTCTAATAAAGTGTTCATAGTAAAACTTGACCCAATGATAAAAACAGTGAGATCTATGCAATCTGCCAAAAGTTTTTAAATCTGACTATTAGTTTCCATGTAGCACTACACGGATTATGAAGATTTTTAAATAAGCAATTTTTTAGTGCTGAAACAGCAATATCTCAAACTCTGAACTGTTTTATAATTTCCTTTTGGCAGATTGCATGTATCATATAAAAACACATCACTGCTTAAAATTTGGTTAAAAACTGATTACTAGAAAATGAAATAACTATGACGGGAGATTGAAAAATAGAAGTTAGCAAATAAAGACTTTGAAAATTAAAAAAGAGAAAAATATGCAAATCAGTTACTGAACAACAATGGCTAATAAAGTGTTATCAATTATTCTGTATCCACATATATTTTTTTTATTAGAACTTGCAGAAGGATTAGGGTTTACTTTGGAATTACTTATATAGGGTTTACTTTGGAATAAGATACATTTATTGAGCTCTGTGAATCTGTAGAAGGTAGAAGACTAGTATTTGCTAAATTTGTTTTATTTAAAGTATATTGATTTCCATGAATTCTTTTTTTTTTTTTTTGAGTTTTTTTATTGAGTAGCGAATTTTACACATTCTCTACCCATTAAAAGTATAAGGTTTAGTTTATATAAACATAAACAGATGCATAAATATATATAACTTTAAGATGTCAATTCGTTTTAAAGAAACTTCTGGAAGAAATTTATGAGAAATCCGGTTATTGCTTTTACTCTTACAGATGTTTTGATGAATGGAAAATAGAAAAAAATTATTACCTCACATCAGCAAGCTTTTTTCTCAGTATTAAAATAATAAGTTTGGGGAGATCTTCTTGGCCAAATAAAAATTTAACCGTTGCTATGGAGGTTGTCAAGGGCGCTTAAAAAAGTAAGATTCAGTAAAGTTTGTTTTCCTCAAGTTATATACTGAATTTTAAAAAATGGTTTTCAGAATATGATTCTATAATAAATTTTGAATAAAATAAAACAACAAAATTTTTTTTGAAAAATTTGATATTTCTGAGGGGTATACTACCTTTTTAATTTTTAATGCAGCATTACTGCTTTATCAGTGTGCAAAGCAACCCTCCCGTATGTGAAAAAATATATATTTTAAGAACAAAACGATGATGCTAGATGTTTTGTTTATTGGAGTAGAAAATTGTTACTGATGAACAATAAGGGCATTACAATAATAATATTAACTATTAATATTTACAAAAATGTAAAGATTGGTCACTTCTAATCTCGATTCTACAATTATCATTCTTTCATCGTATCATTTTTAGTATCAATCGTGTTTTGTGAATTAGATTTGGTCTGCGAAAAGTCGACTTTTTTTTTCAACTTTTTGATTAAATTAGAAAAAAGTTTAAGGGAAGTCCTGCAACCAGTTTTTTTTACAACGCGCAGTTATATAATATACAATCAACCAGTTTTTTCACAGCGCAAAATTATAACTCTTACTTTAAAGATTTCAAATTTAAACTTTTATCGGCGACTTGTTATTATAAATGTCTTTTTTTTTAAAAAAAAAGAATTAATTGATTTTTTGCAGATGCAAGCGCCCTAAACACCCTATTAGGGTATATTAAATATAAAAAAAGTGTGTGTAGCGTTAATGATTTCAGATATAACTTTTAGTGTTTTTTTTAGAAGCAGTTTTTTTCTAGATTCAAAGCAGCAATAAATTAAAATATTTTTTATACAGTAGACCCTTTGTTTAAACAAAAAAAACAATTACTTATCAGAAATTTGAGTTAAAAATATACAAATCTTGAAATTAAAAAAACAAAAGTTTAATACAATCTTTGCTTTCTTTAATACATCCCGAACTTTTTTTTAGAAATCTAATAAGCAGATTTAAACTGCCAGATAACCTTCGTAAAACATCTTCATAAGAGGGTTATTTTTCAAATTCATCAGCGTTAATTTGATGTTTGCATGATAAAACACGAAGGATTACGTAGAAAACTTTCATCAGATCTAACTTAGATCTGATGTTAGATCAAATCTTTGAGAACAACTTAGATCTGTCCGCTGAATTACTTGGCTTAGATTCTAAGCCGCGGGCAGATCTTTTATCGGCCGCTTTTACGGCGGCCGATGGTAGTTTAACTACATAGATTTTGCTCATCAGAATGATGTAGGCCCAATGCCGTCGGGCCGACATCAGTACAACGACGTCGGGCCGAAATCAGTAAAATGACATCGGGGCGAGATCAGTAAAACGACGTCGGGCCGATATCAGTAAAATGACATTAACCCGCTTTAGTTTCGATCAATAAATGAGATTACGAAAGTGACTTTTATTCGCTGCGATTGTAAAATAGAAAGAAAAATAATAGAAAAATACATATTTCTGCATCGCAGAGCATTTATCATCTTTAGGCATCTACATCATTTAATGAAGCATTGTTCTTTATCAAAATATATCTTACTTCAACTAAAAGCAAATGAATATATTAGTCTGGAAGTAAAACATTAATGCGAAAACTTTTTTTTTATATTTTTTTATCATATTTATAATTTCTAACATACCCATGGAGTATGTTAGAAATTTGATAAAAAATTATAAGGTAAAACCCATTATTAAATTGTTTCGAAGAAAAATTATATATATATATATATATATATATATATATATATATATATATATATATATATATATATATATATATATATATATATATATATATATATATATATATATATATATATATAGATATAGATATATAGATATAGATATATATATATAGATATATGTTTAAAATTAAAAATAATTCTATTAAAAAATGGAATTAAAAAATCATTCAATTAGCCAAAATAATTTTTTTTTTTCAACATTATTATTTGAGGCAAATTGTTTTAATTAATCTTCTTCATTATTCGTTGCACTCAAAAGCTAATCTTCCCTGCTTTGCGCGACCCTGTCTCCTATCTTTGGCGTTTCGAAGCCATTCCTTCACCACATCTTTTACCTCAGCATCTGTGGCTTTTTTTGTCAGAGGATTGAGTCGAACTGCATTTAATGAAACAAAAAAAGTATAATTTTTTGCCACAACTATCGAAAATTGGTTGAAAAAGCATCAAATACATCAATATAAAACAGTCATTGCAACATAATTTTTTTTTTATATCAAGTTTTTTGAATATATCTAGACACTGGCGTAGAAAGGGGTCGTCCATAAATTGCGTCACGCTATAAGGGGAGGGGGGGTTAGTAGTTTTGTGACGACTCATACGATTTTGTGACGAGGGGGAGGGGGGGAGGTCAAAATCTGTCAAAAAATGCGTGACGTAATTTATGGACGATCCCAAAGGTCTATAAAGTTGCGGAGGCTGAAACAGAAATTAAGGCATTATGTGTTTATTTAAATCTTATAACAAATGATTTAAATTGTAAAATGTAACAAAAAAAAGTAACAAAAATGTAACAAAAAAATGTAACAAAAAAAAATTAAAAAAAAAGAAAAATAATATTTTGATAAAAAAAAAGTTTGGAAATTTTATCTGATAAAAAGTAAGTTTGATAATTATCATTGACAATTTTTCTTATCATAAGAACTGAAAAGGCATGTTTTTTCCCGTGTCCCATGATATTTAATTCACAAGCTAAATCATTAGTGATTAAAGCTGTCAAGATTCTCATTGTCGTATCTTTGATGTTGGCGCCACCAATGACACCAAGATAACTAACTTAAATTAAAAAGTTAATCAATTTACTTTAAACAAATTTTATAAATATTTAATATATATATTTTTAATTTGTTAAACCTTGTTTATTAACAGTAAATAATATTCATACCAACATTTGCTGCATTTGCTCCAGAAGATACTTTTCTGAGTTTAGCTTCTAAAACTTCCTAAAACTAAAGTTTCATATAGTTTTAAGAGTAAATAAGTAAAAAGATAAAGTAAATTAAAAGATAAAGTCATGAACAAAAAAAAAGACGATAATTCTTTTTTTTTTTCTTTTCATTTACTTATTTTTGTTATATATAACAAAACTAAATATATAAACAAAAAATAATAAAAACAAAAACTAGTAACAAGACATGTAAGTTAAAAAATAAAATCATGAACCAAAAAAAAATGATATTATTTTTATTTATTTATATTTGTTATTATTCATATTTATATAACAAAAATATCGATTTCATAATGAGTAAAAGTAAATTTCAAATATAGTAAATAAAAATAAAAAATAATGAATTATCGTCTTTTTTTTGTTCATGACTACCTTTTAAATTACAAGTCTTGAAACTGACTTGTAAGTTAAAAGGTAAAGTCATAAACAAAAAAAAGAAAATAATTTGCCGCGAACAGCTACCATTTATTATATGTATATATATATATATATATATATATATATATATATATATATATATATATACATATATTTTTTATATGGTTATATTATATATATATATATATATATATATATATATATATATATATATATATATATATATATATATATATATATATATATATATATATATAT